CACATTAATGAACAAGAAACATCCTTAAGAGACATCTGCTCCTGCCCATGATGACAAAGTGACTGTAGCGAGAGTTCAGAGAAAAGGGCCGTTCCCACAGGTGGAGACAATCAGGGAAGACTTCTTGTAGGAGCCAGTGTTTGTTCTGGACCTTGAGGAACAGATTTAGGATTTGAACGTGCTGGAATGAGGAAAGATAGGAAGGATATGGGAAAAGCCCAAGAATTCCAGAATTTCCACAGATGGGGACCGGCCCAGGTCACCATTTTCTGCCTCTGCCATACAAGCACAAGGCATTCATCCAGGGCCAGGAGAAACAGGCAAGTACCCTCTCACCATCAGATTGGTCGGCAAACATCTTTGTGCTTTTTCAAGAACTACTACACTAAAATGTCTCTGTTTGAAACAATGACTGTGCCCGTCACACCTTACGGTAAATTAACCTGTGAATACACGCCAACTCTTAATATCCTTTTAAAAAGCAGACACCGAAGTTGTTGGGTGCTGTTTTACTGTAGAAAGGCAAAAAGGAATTCTAGAGAAGCGTTTCTGTCAGCTCAGAATGTGAGGAATCATAGCTGCTATTTATAAAATACCTACTTTGTGTCGGCCACTCTTTATATACATTCTGTCATTACCCCTCCGGAATATGCTGGGGAGTCACTGTTGTTATCACCACTTTGCAGGTGAAGAAACTGAGGCTCAGAGTGGTCCCATGATTGTCCAACGTCTGAACAATCTGATAGTAGAGGAAGACCTAGTATTGTTATCTACGTCTGGCAGCAAAACCCACAGTATTCTCACTTTTTCATGAGTACTAGATAATGAAGGACCCCATTCTAGACTCACCTCTGTCCCTGGGTCCCCTGATCCTTCTATCTATAGCTCTATTTATCCTAGTCATTAGTGGTCTTTTGGTCACCCCTCACTCTAACCCTGTGGCTGCCTCTGATCCTGCAGCCCAGTGCTCTCAGCTCTGACCACGTGGCAAATCCTAGGGACAGCAAAGACAGGATTGCCACAAAGGCCTTCTTGCCAGGCAGGCTTAGCTACCACTTCTTGTTCCCAGCAGGGTGCTGATGTCCCTGCACAGAACCAAGGCTCTACAGGCAGACAGACTTGCAATTGAATCCTGGCTCTCTCATAGCCTGGCCAAGGGCTCTCCAAGCACATGGTCTAGGCAGCAGCCTGTCCATCCCGTGAACAACAGGCTTTAGTGAGAAGGATGGGCGGGATTTGGGGGTATGTGGTCCTGGGTTCAAAGCCTAACTCTGCCACATCCTGGCTGTGGGGTGTAGAGAAGTACTCAAACCTCAGTCTTCAGGTCTAAATAAACTCAACACAACAGCATGTATCTCACAGGGCTTGTTGTAAGCATTGGATGAGCCTGACACATGGTAGCTACCATCTGGTAATTCTTTTCAGTTTCCTCCCTCGTCTAGGCTGGTTTGGGCGCGCTTCATTCACCTTTGCGTCTGCAAACAGCAAATGCAAGGTGCAGTTCCTAGCAGGAGTTCAATAAAATAGGAGGAAACTTGAACCCCATCCTCTCCCTACCTCAAAAGCCTAGGGCAGGAATTGGCAAAGTATGGCCCTCAGGACGAATCTGGCCCACTGTCTAATATTTTAAAATAAATTTTTATTAGAATATATCCATGCTCATTCATTTACCTATTGTCTTTGGTTGTTTTCATGTTACATCAGAGTTGAGCAGATGCAACAGAGACCATATGAGCCTACAAAGCCAAAACTATTTACTACTGGCGCCTTACAGAAGAAGTCTGTGCTCCCTAGTCTTGTGTATTGGACCTTTCAATAGGGGAGAGCTCTTGAGGGTCTCCTCAACCCACACTTTATGTCCTCTTTCCCTGGTTTATCTAGTTTTTCTCCTTAGCTCTCTTGGCCATTACATAACATCTACACTACTTTTCTTATGTATGTTGCTTATTTTCTATCTCCCTCACTAAATAGCCTCACGTGGGCAGGGATTTTTGTTTTTTGTGATAATTCTTATATCCCAGAACCTTGACCAGTGCCTGGCACATAAGCAAGAACCTCACAAATACTTGTTAAATGAATAAACATGGATTTCATTGAAAAGATGGTTCAGCCGAAGTGTGTTGGAAGCTTTCTCTTTCATGGAAGATTTGGGGGCTTTTAGCGGGATCAGGTGGCTCCCCAACCCCAGTGAGGAGGGTATTATTTTTCCTATTTCATAGATGAGACAACTGAGACCTTGGTAAGTCAGCGCTTCTCAAACTTTAACGTGCACACAAGTCACCCGGGGATCTTGTTACAATGCAGATTCTGATTCAAAAGGTCCAGGCTGGGACCCTAGGGACTGCAGTTATAATAAGCTCCTGGGTGATGTCACTGCTGCTGGTCTATGGACCACACTTTGAGTAGAAAGGGTTTAAAGTACCCAATCGGGGTCTATACCTAAGACTTGGCAGAGTGGAGTTTTGAATCCAGAGATCATGGAGGTCATAGTTTCTTTTTGTTCCCTCTTCTCCGTCTACATGCATCTCTCAATCCTATGGTCCCACAAGACCTGTCACAGCTTCCCCCCTAGGCTGCTCCCTGTCCCCAAACACTTTACCTCCAGACCCTCCCTTCCATGGCAACTCCCCCTCCAGCATCTTCAGGCTTTTCCTTCTGCACAGGCTCCTCTACTTTATCACACATGTGTTCAGGACTTCCTGACCTTTCAAGTGGCCAGTCTCATGTTTCTCTTCTGTTTTAGGGCCCAAAGGTTAAAAAGAGGTATCCTCCTCGTGGGCCACATGTAGGCTCGCTTCCTCCCTCAACACTACCCCATGACCTTCTGATGGTCACATGTCAGGGCTGAGCCCATGCCCTCCACTTCCATCTCTCTGCAGCATCTGCTATTGTCAAATCCTCCTTCTGTAATTGACTTCTCTTAGTTCTTATGGTTCTCTTCCTACTTCTCTGTCTGCTTTGCCAGTTTTCCTCCTCTGAATCTTTAACCATGGTCACTTCCTGAGCTCGCATGAGTTTCACACTATAGGATCTGTCACTTAGAACTCCAAGTTTGCACTGGTTGAAAGACCCTTGTTTATCATTGCACCTTGAACTACGAGTACTTGCGTATCTTTCTCCTACACTCTCACATTGTTCATCTTTGGTTTTACCACAGTACCCAGTACAAGGCTTGGTATAAAGTGGGTGTCCAAAGACAGTGCTCTGTACACTGGCTAACAGACCAGGTGTTGTTATGGGTCACTTCAATCCCACACCTACTATGAAACATTGATGCCATGAGAACCTCTGGAAGAACAGAACTGCTCCCAGGGGCCACCACTACTGCTCTGACTCCTTATGGTTTCTGAAAGGGGAAAGAAAGAAAACTAACATTTCATGAGTGCCAACTTTGTGCCAGGCATTTTATAAAATCCCTCATTCCCAATCAGTTAGGCACTATTACCCCTATTTTAGAGTTAAGAGAAATGAAGATATGACTTGAACCCAGGGCTGCATGACTCCTAAAGCTCATTCTTTTTCCACCAGAGCAATAATATCCCATATGGTTTTATTCCTCTAAGCCTTTGCAGATGCTGTTCCTTCTGCTCTGAATTCTTATTTCTTCAGTATTGGGTAAATCTATCCTGAAAAATACTGATAATTATCCCCTGGCACATTAAAAAATTAGTCACCAACTAAGTGCTCCTACACCACAGTACCTCTCAGCTGACCTTTTAAGTATTTGATTTTATGCTAGTCTGTCAGATGGGCTTGAGCACTATGAGGGTGGGGCTTACAGTCCTGGTCATCTCTCCATCCACAGTGTCTGGAACATAATGCGCATGTTCAACATATGTTTGTCAAATGAATGAATGAACAAATGAAGCAAGTTCTCTGGTACTTTCAGCATTGGTGGAGGGGTCCATCAGTTCCTATATTAACATGAGGGTGGCGGTACCAGGGTCTTTTCTGCTCATTGTCTGGGCCTATTGACCTGGGACCCAAACAATGAGCAGAGGGGATGAGAGAACCTTTTGCTGACTCCATCTTCATCTGTGAAGTCTTCAGCAGATGGTTACTAACAGACACAGCTTTTCTCACAAGGCTGTGTTTGCCAGGGGTGGAGGAAGACATGGAATGATGGAAAATTCATTTTACCAGGAGCCGGGTGTTCTGAGTTTTAATACTACTCTTTAGCTAACTGATTTCTTGCACTTCTATGGACCTCAGTTTTCAAATATGGAAAATGCGTACTAGGAATATGGGACTAATTCAGTGGTTTTCTAACTTTTCATTACCAAGGATCTATTTATGGAGTTTTCCTCCTTTATCCTCATATTTCGAGAATGTCTAGTTTAATAAGGAGAAAAAGCACCATCTTTATTTAGAAAGTGCAAAAAAAAATTGACAGGCAATCAGCCATCTATAACTACCAAGAAAATGCACTGATAGCATGAGGTAACTAATGCGAAATGCCAGACTGAGATAATTCTAGCCCAAAGCAAAGACCTTGGAAGTTTCTGTCTCCTGTGAAGCTGGCTCTAGATAAAGTCATGATTCCCTGTAGACTTTCTGAAATCATGGAAATGGCCAATGAATTTCTTTCTAACCTTTGGGCCTCTAGGGCTACACGTTCCCCAGGTAGACACAAATGGACTTGAAGTTGCTGAGATCGGTGATTCTATTCTATGTGTGCAAGTCCTGCAGGAGGATTAGGTGGACCTCTTGCTGGAATGCAGGGATTTCTAACTAGAAATTTACACTGACAAAGGAGAAACAGCCCTTCACATCTCCAAAAATAGGGGGAAAATCCAAGATGGCAGAAACATAACAGACACGAACAATGACAGGGCATTTTCAAGTGAAAAACATCTATGCAAAATAAAAACTTTGGGGCTACAGATGACTTAGACAGAAGTGAGTATGAGAAACCAACAGACACTTGGTTGGTGCAGGAAATGCATGCTACAGGTTCCCTTACAGGGCACGAAGGAAAGTTACCCCGGGTCGATACTTACAAGTAATAGGAGTAGGAATAAGCATTTCTTCTATATATTGATGGGCAGTCAGATGAAGGAAATGTCCAAAAAGGGGGAAAAAGAAAAGACAAACAAACAAGAATTAGATTTATATGAAATCTTGATTCTTAGAAATGCACACAGTATTTCAGCATCCCTAAGCTCAAGGAGATGCAAGTTTCTCTACTAATCATCTTTGCTGAGAATCAGATACTTTCAGTGGTAAAAGAAATGGGAGAGACCACTCCTACGATGGAGAAACTCACTACTCATACAGAGTAAGCCACGTCTCATGTTGGCTGTTTTAGTTGTCTGAAAGTTCTTTTTTTTGGTCAACTAGAACTAGCTTCCTTGTAATTATGACTTTTCGGTTGTGGGTTAGATTTCTGTGGCCTTCTAGAGCTCGTCTACCACTCTTCCACATGACAATGTTTCCGTGATCTAAGGAAAACCATAATGACTCCTATCTTCTCTGTTTCAGGTCAAATCACATCATAATCTATTTAGCAAGTTCATGCCAAAAGCAAGGAAATCATGTATCCGGCATCCAAGATGGCTTCCCAATGATCCACACTTCCCAGTATTTATGCCCATGTGTAGCGGTCTCCTACACTGAATCAGGATTGGCCCTATGTGACCAAGAGAATGTGGTAGGAGTTACATTCTGGGACTTTCTAGGTCAAAAAGAAGCCTTGCAGCTCTGTCTGGGTCTTTGGAACTCTCACTTGGAACCTTGAGTCTCCATGTAAGAAGTCTAAGTATCCTGAGGTTGCCATGCTGGAGAGACTATGTGCAGAGGCCACATAGAGAGGCCCTAAGACTGCATGAGGAGAAAAAGACATTCAGTCAGCACCCAGCTGTTCCAGTCCTAGCAAGTTAGATTATACCAACTGAGACTCTTGATATCATGGAAAAGAAACAATTCATTCCCTTCAAGCCCTAACCAAAGGTCAGATTCATGAGAAAAATAACTCACTAAATTTTAAATCTTATTTTTAAGCCACTAAATTTCAGGGAGTAGATTACATATCAATAGAAAACCAGAACAAAATTCAAATTTCATCATGAAAGAGCTTTGCACTAAGACAGAGGAATTCCAATCTTCAATTTGAACAGAGTACAACTTGCATAAACTCTCTGTGTCATTGTTTCCTTATCTGATCCTTAGATGAGTTGACCTAGATCAGTAGTTTTCAAGATCCCGGAGGTTCTGTGGAGCAGCCTCATTGTAATGAGGAGGGGGGGATACCAAGCAGATAGCGCTACTGGTCCCTCCCCCCGCTACCACCAAAGCCAGAGCTTCTATTTATTTTATAAATTGAAGTTTCATTTAAGATTTTAAATGACTAAGAATTCCAGTCTCCAAAAGAAAGTTTGAAAAATCACTGCCTACCATCTCTTTCCAATGTCCCTTCCAGCTCTTGGCTTTTAAACAATAAAAAACTCAAATAAGTTCATGATATTCCCTTGGTTATATTTTTTTGTATTTTGTAGGAAAATAAATAGAAATGCTTTTATTTTACAGACTTAGCTACACTGACAATAACTGATACATTTGTGGAATGAGAAAAATTTCTTAATAATTCAGGTCCCCAAATATCCACTTGAGTAGGCAAGAATAATTTCCTTCTCTCTTGAGTTATTTGGTTAATTGCAGCCATTATCCACTTTGCTTGGCACAGGAAGATGCTGTCTTTATATCTTCAGAGTGGGAACATGTCCTCAGAGCCCCAAATTTCCCCTACTTCAGTAGGAACTGGCCAAACCCCCCAAGGCAAGGCCATCTCTAAGCTTTCTCTCATTTATCAGGAGAGTCCAACAGAAGGAAAGTGGCCCTGAGAGCTAAGAAACCACAGCAGAAGGGAAGTCCCGTGCCTCCTTGGGAGGCTGGGTTGAGGAAAATAAGCAAGTGCAGCAAGATCTGCTCACTCACAAAACTGTTCAATATCTTGGGCCAAATGAACAGTAACCCTAGATGATGAAAAGGGTGAAGAACTCCCAGCTTGATGGGTGGGAATTGGAAGAGCTCAGGCAAGTCATCAAATCCCTTTCACCAACCATACAAGTTGGTGCTGTGAGGAGAACATTCTTCTTCTTCATTGCTGGCTCTGTGGTCCAATGCCTGAAAATGTGATTTCTCAGGGGCAGAAAGAAGAAGGTCCATTTGATGAAGACTTACAGATGCACCTATGTTCTCCATATTCTCAAGAACACCAGGCTGAGAATTGAGAGGCCACAGCTCTGATCCTAGCTCTTTACCTGTTCATTATAACATCTTGCGCAAGTTAACTCCTTACCCTGGACCTCTGTTTCCTGACCCATGTACCAACGCGAATGGCATAGACAACCACCAGCTTAAACAGCTGTGAGGAGTGGGAAAATGATAACTCTTAGCCTCCCAGCTCCAGCACTTACTAACTGCATGGCCCTGAGCAAATCACTAACGGTCTCTGAGTCTCAGTTTCTCCGTCTCAAGGTAGAGGGCAATAATTACCTATTCCCAAGAGTCATTGTGGGCATTAACATTAGATTATATCAACCTAGTTATATTCAAATTATATATGACATTTAATATATAAAGTATTTTAAGTAAATTATATTAATCTAAATTAATATTAGATTATATTAATCTAAACACCTGAAATACAGTCAGGCTCAGTAAAGGGGAGTTTATGTCCCCAACTCATTCTCAGATACAATGTTTGCCGCTTCTCACTCTGGTGACCAGGAACAAAGTGTTCACCTCTTTAGGAATATTAAAAATAGTTATAAAACAAGAATAAATACTTATGTAGCACTTACTATGTGCCAGGCATTGTTCTAGGCTCTCATCATACATTAACTCATGTGTTCCTCACAACCACCCTGACAGATAGGTATTATTATCATCCCCACTTTACAGATGAGGAAACAGAGGCAACAAAAGCTTAAGTAACTTGCCTAAGACCACAAAGCTAATAACCGGATTTGATAGCAACATGGCAGTAAAGCTCATTTTCTTGACCACCAGCCTGTCTTGCCTTCGAGGAAGGAAGAAAACAGATGTATGCTCAGCAATACACTGGGTCAGGCACTGAGACGCCACAGGCCTTATCTTTTTTAATCCTCCCCACAATCCCATGGAGCAGGCAGTATTCTTCTCATGTTTGTTGAGGAATCTGAGCATCTAAGAGGTCACTCCTAACGAAGTCTAATGTTTTGTGTATTTTTGGGCCAACTGCAAGGTCTCTATCCTGAGCCAGGATTTCCTCACTGTCAGCAGCCCAAGGCTGCACTCTTGGGCTTCAGGTTGCACTCAACATTCTGTACCCTCTGGATTTTCTGCTCTCAACCTTCAGGATCCACCTCTGCCTGGGCCACCTCCTCATGACAAATGCTTCCTTAACCTTCAAACCACCTCTTCCAAATAGCTTTTCTGAGTTATCCTGGACGTCACCAGAGCCAGTGCTCTCCCTGACCCAGCTTCATGGCAACTCCAGAATGACGGCAACTGAGATGCTTCTGTTAATTGAGTATCTTTTCCCAATTAAATTGCAAAGTGTTCCAGGGCAAGGATTACAGTTCTTTATCCTGTGACCAAAACACAGTATATATTGTGTTTTCTCTAAGGCTTGAAGATTTACTGAAGGTCTAAATTTACAAGGATACAGTGATATTGCAAGTAACAGATTGCCTGAGACCAAAAATCTTGAGCAGGAAGACAGCTGTGCTTAGGAAAAAACAACCCCAAACTTAATAAATCGCATACTGCGAATCTTCTTGGCTGGCTAACAAGATTAACTTGAGGCACAGCTTCCTTTTGTTCCATACTATTTCAACAGGACTAAGTTGTCTACCTAACCATCCATTTGACCGTCTACCCATCCATCTAGCTCATAAACCCAACCATCCACCCGTCTATCCATCCATGGATCTATGCATCCATCCAACCACCCATCCATCCAGCCACCCATCCATCCATCCATCCATCCATCCATCCATCTATCCACCCATCCATCCACACATCACTCCCTCCAATCATCCATCCATGCACTCACTTAACAGTCTATCTATCCACCTATCCATCTAGCCCATAAACCCACACATTCATCTATTCATCCATCCACTCATCTACCTATTCATCCAACAATCTATCCATCATCTACTCATCCATCTTTGCATCATTAATTCAGCAAAAATTCTCAAAGGCCTACTATATGCCTGTCTATGCTCAGAGATAGAAAGACAAATGAGATCTTGATTCAGTCCATATGTCTGATGGGAAAGCCAGACAAGAAACATAAAACAGATGATAACAATAGCTACCACTTAAATAGTAGGAGGTCACTTATGTGCCAAGTACTCTTTTCAGTGCATTATATGGACTATTTTATTTAATCCTCACTATAAGGCATTATTATCCCTGTTTTACAGATGAGGACAGTGAAGCTCAGAGAGGTTAACTAACATGTCCAAGTTTATATAGTTGGTAAGTAGCATGGCAGGGATTAGAATCCAAATAGTCTAACTTTAAGAGCCTGCATTAACAACCACTATATTATATTGTCTTCTGGAGTGATAAATGGTATGATGCAGCAACACATGGAGCTGTGGGACTATATCCGGGAGTAAAGGTGGGGAGGGGAAACAGGTAAGGTGGTCTAGGGACTATGAGACCTGAGTCATCAAGTCAAGGAGTATCCACATAAAGTAGGAGGAAGGGCATTTCCAGTCAGATGGAACTGTGTTTATGGAATGGGTGCATGGGTTGGGAAGGTGGGAATATCAAGATGTTGACAGGGCCTAGTTGCTAAAGTGCTTAAGGAGCTTAGTCTCAATACCATAGGTCACAGGGAGAACACAGAGGGCCAAGTGGCCAAATATTTTTCTCGATGGATGATTCCGTCAAGAGTATAAGAAGAAAATTGGAGGGAAGAGGGATTGGGGTCATGAAAGAAAGCTACTGCAAGGATCAAAGCAAGAGATGTTGGGGACCTATCTTGCAATGGCCATGGGGAAGGATCAGAGGTGAATATGAAAGGTAGTTAAGA